GTCTGAAAAATGGCAGATGAAATTCAATGTCGACAAATGTAAAGTACTCAGTATAGGAGATATAAACAGGGAAACCAGATACCAGATGAACAACGATGCCATAGAGAAATCCGACTGCGAGAGAGATTTAGGAGTAATGATAAGTAGGAACCTTAAGCCAAGTAAACAATGTGTTTTTGCTCGTAACAAGGCTAATAAAGTACTTGGGTTCATACAAAGGAGTATTAGTTACAAGACTAGCGAGGTCATCCTAAAACTGTATCTTGCTCTTGTGAGACCACACCTGGATTACGCAGTTCAGTTCTGGTCACTGTATTACAGAATGGATATAGAATCCTTGGAAAGAATTCAGAGGAGAATGACAAGACTAATCCCGGGCATTAGGAACCTTGAGTATAGAGACAGGTTAAAGCATCTTAATTTGCACTCCCTTGAGAGACGTAGAGCGAGGGGCGACCTGATAGAGGTGTATAAGTGGAAGGCAGGGCTAAACAAAGGGGACATTACAAAGGTACTCAAATTATACAACCAGGAGCGAACTCGTAACAATGGTTTTAAATTAGACAAATTTAGATTTAGGCGTGAAATAGGTAAACACTGGTTTGGAAACAGAGTAGTGGATAAATGGAACAAGTTACCAAATATCATCATTAACTCGAATACGCTGAATTGCTTCAAACATAGGTTGGATGCTAATATGAGCAATAGGGGTTGGGTGTAAACGGGACTGCCCAGTATGGGCCAATAGGCCCCCTGCAGTTTCCTCCATTCTTATGTTCTTAAGTAGTTGTAGAGCCGATGAGAGCTGCTTCTGTGTGGATAAGCCGGTCTTCCATGCTGCTTGAAGACTGGGAGCGTGATCAGTTTCTCCTCCATCCTGTGTGAGTGCGAATCTCCGGGAGTCACCATTTGTGGGGTATGAGTTGTTTGGTTCACACTCAGGATGGAATGGAGAAAGGAAACTCACAATGTGCTCTCTATATACATGTTGTATTGGATGTACAATGCAGCTTGGTGCTGGGAAGGCAGCATGGTTACAAGCGTGATGTAGAGAGAGCTGGTTGGTGAGGACGCTCAGAGAAGGACAGCTTGTGGGTCGCCATGCTCGCCAGCGGGAGAGAGGACCGCCAGGCAGGCGGAGGAGCGAGGACCGCCAGGCAGGCGGAGGTGTTGCTGGCTGGTTGGTGTGGGTAGACAGAGAGAGATCACCACGAGGTCAGGTCTCAAATAGCGGGGGTAGGCGTGGCTTAGCAGTTGACCCCCGCTCCGTGATGTATGGCGGCGCTGGTTGACCTAGACCACGAGGCATACACTGGGGAATTGGTGGGGTCGGCTAGGCAGCGACAAACAGCGTTTGTAGGGGAGAATTCCACTACAATACTATATTTGAGTATGTGAAAGTAAAGTTGTAGTTTTAATTTCAGAAATAAAGATGGTCCTAATTTTTTACACTTTTTTACTTTTTTCTCTATCCTATATGTCGTTTTTGCTTTTTGTTTAACTGTTACTTATAAAGTTTAAGTATGTTTGGGGTGTATTTAAAGCATACTATATTTGAGTATGTGAAAGTACAGTAATATTATAATGGTACACAAACTATTTAATATATATATATATATATATATATATATATATATATATATAGAGTGAGTCACTGTGCAATATGTATTTTTGTGGGGGCACGGGGGCGGCAAACTCAAGGGCCGCCCCGGGCGGCACACACTCTAGCTACGCCACTGGAATGAATACAGGAGGGCTAAATTAAAACTGAGTTAGAGGGGTTAAGTTGACCGGGATTGTGGTAACGGGTCAAGCTGACCAGGGTGTATGTTGACCCCAAGGTCTAAAAGGTAGTATTTTATCCTTGGCGTTGACCGACCACCGTTTAGTTATAACCACGGTATGAAAATTTATCTGCCCAAGTATGTCTTTTTTTGTCATACATTATCAAAATAATGTACTGGAAATTTCATGCAATCACATGACGTTGCGAAACTGTAAAGGCGGGGACCCAGATGCAAAGCCGAGACGAGAGGGTCCAATGCGATCAATAGATTTGGGAAGGAGCGAGAGGCAGGCAATCTTCACATGCCTCAGGCACCGGCTCTCTCCTTCCCCCTAGGGCTTGCTTAATGCTAGTAATAATACCAATATTAGTTATATTGATACTGCTATTAAAATTTATGATTTATGGAAAAAGTAAAGCAGTTTGTAGAATGTGTTAGCAAAGGAAAAGTAATCAGAGACGTGACCGATCGCCCAAGCGGCTAAAGAGCCGATCAGTGGTGAAGATAAAAGTAAGAAAGTAAAGTTAACATTTTAAGATGGGAAGTCTTGAGGTTGGTGAAGTAGCTCACGTTCCAACTTTAAAACAGTCAGCTTCCTTGATGGCGATTGGTTGTAGACTCGAGAATATAATGTTATTGATGTACTCTGTACAATAAAACTGCTGTGCTTACCCTAACAAGCGACTTAATTTCCAAGACAAACACAGTTACCAGGGCAACAGATTCAAATACCATCTCATTAAAATAGATGTAATTACTCCGAAAACATTAATTTACCATGACATCAGGCTTAAAATGACAAAATACAGTTACCATGGCAACAGACGCAGCTACCCTGACAACACGTTCAGTTATGTGGATAATACAAAGATTGTACTGATGTATGGATGCAGTACCGAATAAATCGCATTAAATGAGACAATGTAAAAAGGATATGTATGTCGAGAATGAATTATAGTTCTTGGGCCATTGTGAGAAGAAGGTGAATCAGGCAACGAAACTAGTAGGTCTTAAAAGGTCATTTAGATTATCTGGATGGTCTGTCTCCAATCACGATCTTCAAGAGTGAGGTGCTACTACCTAGCCTATGCTACAGACGGGCGAGAGGCGCCCAAATCGAAGTGTATAAACATCTCAGGAGACACTACTCGGTCGAATGTACAGTTGACAGCAAAAGTTCTCCCACAGCCCTGTGTAGCAAGTTGTGGGAGGACTAGTGGTAAACCCTGTTGGTTGTTGCCACATGGCATCACGAAAAGTTTGACCAAGTCCCATGTTGCTCATCTGACTTAATGCCTCATTTACACACAATTGCAGGATCTCAATTGTTTCTCTTGCTATTGACAACACAACATACATATATTGTTTCTCACTTTTGATCTTTTTTCATTTTGTATTTCTTTATTATTATTATTACTACACTTTCGCCCCCCAGGCCCCGATGTGGGTCAGTGACTTGTGCCCGGGTGGGCTAATCATCGTAAAAAAAAAGGAAGAAAGCTGCAAGTCCAGAAAACCGTGAGGGCAAACTTTTTCGGAGTGAGGGTTGTAAACTCTTGGAAAAATCTACCAGAGAGTGTTGTGACGGCACCGAGTGTGAGCTCTTTCAAGACAAGACTTGACCAACACTGGAGCGGGTTCAGGTACATTCAGGAGCCGGTGCATGCCCAGTACTTGCCAACAGTGTGTAACAGAGACGTGACCGATCGCCCGGGCGGCTAACAAGCCGATCAGTGGCGAAGAGGATAAAAGTAAAATAAAAAAATGTACATAGAACATACTTGGAGCTGGCGGACGTCCGCCCCACAAGGGGTCACGGCTAAAGGTTGAAAAAACCACAAGTCCAGAAAACTGTGAGGGCAAACTTTTTTGGAATGAGAATTGTGAACTCCTGGAACAATCTGCCAGAGTGTGTTGTGACGGCACCAAGTATGAGCTCATTCAAGGCCCGACCTGACCAAAACTGGAGCAGGTTCCGATATACAAGTACAGTATTCAGAAGCCAGTGCCTGCCCAGTATTTGCCAAGAGTGCGTAACCAAACGGCTGACGAGCTGATCATTGGCGAAGAGGATAAAAGTAAACGTAGTATCGAGGTTGTACTGGTGTGGCTGTAATAGGGGGATGTACTGTAATGGTCGGGTGTATCACTGGGGGGTTTAATTGTTCCGTTCCATTGCTCTTAGATAACTGAAATACTGTAGTACTTCACTTCCTGCATTTTGACTTCATGACTATTTTCCCCTGCTTCCCCAATGTCCCTTTTCATTACTGTACTATTTTATTATACTTACACTATTAACTACCAACTTCGACATACTCTTCTAAATTTATTCACTAATATTTGTAACTTCTTAGCTCAATATTAATATGCCAATTAGAGTGTAGCCACGGGGGTTAATTAGCTGTTAGAAAACCGTGCTGGAAATTTTGAGGACAAAAAGAAATAATATCAATTGAAGCAACATGAAGAACCTTGCCTGACGCACAATAACTGAATTGTGATTAATTTACCTAACAGTTCGTATACAATATAATGATGAGACCTGTCTTGTAATAATACTGATGGTGTAAATAAAGGAAACTGTGAAGTGACGATGACTTGTGTACCGTACATTAATACACTGCGACTATATTGTTGGCTACACTGTCTCCTTGTTTACAGAAAATAATCAATTTCCCCCAACTTTACAAATATCTGGATCTGCCCAGTAAATCTGTGAAAATTATTTCCGTACAACTGGCATTGATAATATCAATATCAATGTACGGCTGGCATGTATGGCATGGGCATAGGGAATTTGTTAGAGTTTTGGTCAAGCTGCTGGTAATGAGAAAAATGAGCACGTGGTTGGCGCCTCTCTTACCAAATCATTGTCGATACTTTGTAACTGTTTCGTCAACAGATATACTGTATACAGCGATACAGTTAGTTTAGTCCTAAGTTTTCTGACATAACCAGCTGATGGCACTTTCAGCCTCTCTAACAAATTGTTTGTATACATATAGCTCATTTTCCATGTCAAATACTATTTTCGAAGAGACTTAAGTGGTTCGTCAAAGTGCTCACTCGGCATTTAGTGATGAGCTTTATCACGCTCACAGTTTGTTCCACTATTATTATTTTTGAAAAATAAAATTTTTGCAATTAAGAATTCATTAATTATATTACAGGAGCAACTGCATCAACACTGAGTGACGTCATTGTGGAGGGCGACATGTTAGGTCAGGTTGGGGAGGAAGGAGCCCAGGTCATGTGAAAATTGAGTTTCTCTAATGCAGGTCTTGAGTGAACGGCGGCCTCAACACACTTCCATTATACATAATTAGTGCAGGAATGCCATAACCCTTTAAAATGAGTGTACATGTAGTGAAGGTTGTGTTAAGCGGCTGACTGAGCGACTCTCAACTTGGCAAGGACAAAATGTCAACAAAGTGGCGTTGCGTCACTCGCTAGTCAAAAGATATTTTAATTGTTCTGCCCACCCATATACGGATTCTGTACAGTACTTTATCAAGATGACGGGGTCACATCGAGTTGTTCTCCTGGCCTGTGGGTCGTTTAACCCGCCCACAAACATGCATCTGCGGATGTTTGGTGAGTACAGTACATCAATGGCAGGTCCGCCCCGCCACCGGCTTGTTTCCTCACTCTCCTCTTTCACTTGTATATTTGTGCAGATTTACATGGTTTTCGCTGTGGATTATGTAGAATTTTACAAGTATGACTGCCTGGCATTGCTAGTACTTTTAAGCTCATTGGTGTAACTCTTAGCATTGGTTTGGATGACTAAGTGGGGTGCCCTAATTTGTTGTATCTGCTCCCATATTCCCTCTAATGTTGTACAGTATTTTATTGTTTGGGGAGATGAGTATCCACAGTAGAAGTTCTGCTGACGAAGGCTTAGTACTGTGGGTATTAATGGTTCAAAAGTTTATTTATATTGTGGTTGGCAAAGGATGTGATCATCAGGGCAGATTATCTGTTCAGTAAAATTAAACTGTTTGGTCTAATACTGTGCAGTTGTTTGAGGAGGTGAAGCAAGTGGACAGAAGGCCACCTTTTGTACATGTACACAATAATGCTTGGCAAAAATATTTATTGAATGAAAGCCTAGTACAGTATAAGAAAAAATATATGTATTGGATATTTTGCCATGACCAGCTAAGTTCCTATTTAAGCTATTTTATCGTGAGCGCACTCTGATTGGCTAAGTATTTTCTGTTTAATAGGATTGGGGGGGGTCGCCCCCGACTAGTAAGATAGGTAAGGTTAGGTAGGTCTTTTTGTTGGTTAGGTTCTAGTAAAAACATAAGAACATAAGAATGGAGGAAACTGCAGCGGGTCTATTGGCCCATACTGGGCCTCTTTTATAATGATAAGTTTCCATGCACAACAGAAATATGGTTAGGTATATTTATAGCTACACAACGATCAACTCACGGCAAAATAAATGCCACATACCACAAGAATCACGGTCAATTATAGTTCTTGTGTTGTTCGCCAGTAATGGACGATTAGCCAATCAGCGCGCTCACGATAAAATAGCATTACTGTAGTAGGAACTTAATGGTCACGGCAAAATAAACACTGCCAAAATAAAATGGTTGCAATATGAAAATATTCTATGGCTGTCACCATCAAGCATCTCATGTGACCAGAGATAACAGGACCATATCATTATAGAAAGCAGATGAGACGAAAGAACCCAACCTAACCTAACCAAAAAGTATGATCATAAAGTTAAGGGAAGCTTACTTAATGAAACAAGAAGTTGAAAATTCCTAAGGTATGATAAATATGTCGAATGTCTTATCTTCGGGATTTTACCAAATTACTGTGTGTTGCAATTTACAAATGCAAATAAGATGGAGTAGCAAGGAAGATTTTTTCTTTTTTCATTTTCATAAGAAATAGCAAGTAGGCTATGACCTCTGTCTTTGGTGACTTAGCAAATGAAAATAATGTATCAGATTTGTGTCCAATTCTGTCTGAAATGAACCACCAAGTTTGACAATATTCAGCGGTTCACTCGTACTAAAATAAAATGGTTCAATGATAGTTTGTAAGTTCAACAAAAACATAATTTCCTTAGTAAATTCAGAATTTGTTCTTGCTTTCCAGCTGTAGATATTTATTAAAAAAAAAATAAGAGAAAAGTAAAAAAAAAACAATCAAACCTCTGTGAGTAATAGTTAAGAATAATGGTCAAGGTTAACCAGCTTGCTAATGAAAAATACTGTATCCATAGAAGAAACTTTTTTTTCTACCTCAATAATATAGCAAATGAGGTGAAGGAATAAAAAGAATTTCCAATTCAGGTTTCCTCCCAAGTTTTTCTCATAAAGATGTTACCTGCCCACAGGAGGAGGAAGTCATCTTTATTTATGTGAGCAGGAGTCTTTCCATTTCATAGACATCAATACTGTAGAGAAATGCTCTTCCCTTTCATACTAAGACACGAGAGCAGCAACTTTAGAAAATTGTTGTGCTGTACAGATGACGATAAATTATTCTTTCTTATGTTTAGAATAGCATCTAGAAAAGGGACAAATGGAAGTGGTGTTTGTAATTATCATATTATTTGTTTAGAGATAGACACGAATGTGCTATAATTTATTGTAGATAAGATGAACCAACAAAACCTACCTAACCTACCTAAACTACCTATTCTAGAATGAAAATATAGTACCTTTACGTATATCATTATTATTATACTTTTTATACCCGGTTTTAAAGTAAGAATTACAGTGCAGCATTATTATAATTTTATATTACTGTATACTGTACAGTATTATGTAGGTTTGTAGCTATAGTAAGGAAGGGGGTCTGGTTGGATGCTGTGAAGCGTTTGTCCACAATGATGTAAAAACATGGTGTCTTGAAGTGGGTGGGTGGCAGCCTCTTTATTTAAGAGAAAAAACAAAGGAAAATGCCTGAATGCAAATATTGTTATTCCTCTATCTGATTTGCTTTATTCTTGATGTAAGAAATACGTTTTCTTCTAAAGATGTGTTTTGTTAAGTAGCTGGATGACTCGGACCCTAGATCTTAACTACAGTATTAACCTTTTATGTGTTCCAAAAAGTCATTCTCAGCCAGCAACTTTCTCCGCATATTTTTTTTATATGCACTCCTCATTTTTCGAGGCCATTAGGGTCCAGGCTTGCATGTTTACTGTAGTACCAGTAAATGTGAGGAATAGTTTCACTACAAATGGGACACCTGGAGTGACTGAGATCCCCGACGCTGCTCCCTTCTCTTCCTCCCATGAGCTGACTCGGGTACAAAGAATTGTTTATTCCCTTTATTATGTTTTTTTACCTTATAATCATCATTTCTATTTTTTTTTCACATCCTGTATAAATGAGTGTGTGCACATGTAACAGAGTAAATAATAAAGTTGTGCATATCTACCCAAAATATGAGTAGCAAAATACTGCAATAATAACACAGCTTGGCCAGGTAGGGGTAGAGCTAGGGGTTACAGTCAAACCTGACAACCCATGCTCTCCATTTTTTTATTTTATAGCAACATAACATCTCCATGGATATTTTTTTTTTCTAATTCACTTTGTGAATATCAAAGATGGGTGTTAAAATATCAATTGCGGATAAAAAAATATGCATTTTGTCTTTGATGTATAATTCTTAATGTAAATATTGGAGTACTATATTTTATAAATTTAATACGTTTGGCTTTTACTTGAAATAACATGAAGAAAGAGTACTGGGACTTTTCCTGGGGTTCTTGACTAAGCTTTTTTGAGAGTAACAGTACAGTATACTGTACAGTGGTCCCTCGGTTAACGAGCACAATTCGTTCTAGAAGGTTGCTCGTTAACCGAAAAACTCGTTAACCGAAACCATTGTTTCAATGGGTTTTTGGGTAATTGGTTCCAGCTCACCGAAAATTGCCTAAAATCAACAAAAAGGTAGTAAAGTACACTTACTTTGAGGTGTGTATGTAGAAGGCTCCTGGATGATGATGATGATGGGAATTAGAATGGGGGTGGAGGAGAAGGGAGAAGAGAAGGCATTGGGGGTGGAAGAGAAGTCACCCCATGGTGCCATTTCACCCATAAAATTTTAGTTCTCTTGGTGTAATTCAAGATTATTTTCTTTAAATCAACACTGCACTGCATTATATACGGTATTGTCAATATGTAAAATAAATTTCAAATTGACCAATAATTTGCTTGGAAATACAGAAAAAAGCGTTTAGTTGAAGAGAGTCTCAAGCAAGATGTTACCTCTACTGAAAAGACACAGAGACTGACGCCTGTATGGCGGGCAAAAATCTAGCGTCCTATACTTCAATTTTGTTCAATAATTGTTAAAATGACAAAAAAATTTAATATAAATTTTTAAAATTTTTGAATAGTATAAACTTCATGATATTTATTAAAATAGTAAGGAATTTAAGCCCTAGAACCGATTACTGTATTGGCGGACTAATACTACAGCTCGTGGACTGCTAAACGCAAGCGAAAACATGTTGATGTCGGCTCGTAAAAAACTCGTTAATCGGGGGTTTGCTTGTTAACCGAAGTTAAGAATCTTATGGAAGGTAACTCGTCAACCGAAATCTCGTTAACCGAGGCGCTCGTTAACCGAGGGATCACTGTACTGTACTTCTACTTAAGTATATTTTTCCAGTATACCTTGTCCATATTTTTTCAGTATACTTTGTTCACCACTGACAGAAAGTGATATAGAGGGAGAAAGGTGATTAGCTGTTAAAAGAGATGATAATGGGGGAACTAGTGAAGAAGGGACTAGTGATGATACAAAGGAGGATGAGGAGACTAATCCCGGGCATTAGGAACCTTGAGTACAGAGACAGGTTAAAGCATCTTAATTTACACTCCCCCGAGAGACGTAGAGTGAGGGGCGATATGATCAAGGTGAATAAATGGAAGTCAGGGCTAAACGAAGGTGAAATAATAAAGGTACTGTACTTAAATTATCCAACCAGAAACAAACTTTTGCAATGGTTTTAAATTAGACAAATTTAGATTTAGGCGTGAGATGGGTAAACACTGGTTTGGAAATAGAGTAGTGGATGAGTGGAACAAGTTACCGAACCTCATCATTAACACGAACACGCTGGGTAGCTTAAAATATAGGTTGGATGGATATATGAGTGATAGGAGCTGGGTGGAAACGGGACTGCCCAGTATGGGCCAATGGGCCCGCTGCAGTTCCTCCATTCTTATGTTCTTATGTTGTAACAAGGGGAGATCTGACAAACATTATCTTATCTTTATGATGCTGGCATAGTTGTCAGAGTGAATTTTATGGTCTGAAAATGTGGTTATTCGTCATAATTGTTTGACATCTGATTGGATAGACTGTAATGTGGTGCAAGTCTAAAATTGATGTAAATGATCTGTGTGAGTTAGTGGAAGAGTATACAGCTACTCAGCTAAGGTATATAAGAATAACTCAGATTATTGTACAGGGAACTTAAAGGCTAACCACTTACTTAACCCATTGCCTTTATACATTTTTTTTTAATTTTTGGCCTTTTTTTCAGAAATTGCAAGAGATTTCCTCCACAGAACAACAAATAATAATGTTGTGGTAGGCTTGATGTCACCAGTTCATGAAAAGTATGGGAAAGAGGTAAGATTAAGAGGTTCTTGTTATAAAGTAACCCAACTCTAATTTTTATTCCCTTTACTCCACAGTAAAATTTTTCCCCAAATTACAAGATGATGTACAGCATTGCCTTTGAGTCATGGATGATGAGCACTAAGAGTCGAAAACACTCTCTTGAAGAGTTGTTTTGGGTTCAAGATGTTAACTTGTTGAATGGTAGGCTACTGTACTGTACACTCCAGACACATGAGGTCAGATAATTGTTTTGCTGTACTGGGAGTTGAGGTTGAAAATTTGAACCAGTCTGATCCAGTAGCTAGTTGACTCAGAGTTCAGTGATGCTTTAGGCCAGGAATCCACATTATTAAATTAACATATTATGATGGCTTAGTAATTTGAATTCATAGAAAACCATCTATAATATTGTCACAAAATGAATCACTGTACAGTACTGTATTGTAGTACAGTTTTAACAATGAAGATGGAGGATATAAAAATGGGCTTTGTCCATCTTATACAGCCATCAAAGTTGTGTTTCTTGATCATTCTCAAGTATTGTGATAATAGTTTGTATTAAATGTAATTTAATTTAGCAATAAAGATATGTTTTTTGAATAAGACATACCAGTACAGTAGAGGATTATAATGTTAATATTATTTTGTAGTTGGAGATCTAAGTGATTGGTTCATATAATAAATGACTTTTTATTTTGAAGGGACTGGTGAGTTCAAGTGACCGTATTCAATTGTTGCGTCTTGCGCTCAACTCCTCGTCGTGGGTGCACGTGAGTGAATGGGAAACACGTCAAGATGACTGGACACCTACGAGGGAAGTCGTCCAGTACCACCAGGTCAGTTGCTGTACAGTATACTGTATATTTATCAGAAAGATACCATAGCATGTGCCTCTATCTACCAGGTTTGCCTTGTACTGTATGCCTTGATTCTTCCTTCAGGTTTTTGCAGAATTAAAAGTTTTACTTGTACAGTACAGCGCATACTTCATAAGCTTTTGGTGCTGTTGTACTGTACAGCTTTTTTAATTTTGCCTTTTTTCTGGGTCATGGAATTGTTTTTATTTCAAGTTGTTTGAAATGTTTGCAGCCAAGAAATCATTCAATATTTTCATTTTTTGGGGGGGGGGTAATCAAATAATCAAATGGAAAAGAAAATACCTGTACTGCATTGGGTATTATTTTGAGATGGCTTCATATGCTGTAAATTGTACAGTACAGTACAGTACAGTACAGTTTATGAAATAAGAATGAAAAGTCTTGAATAATAAGCTAATTTGTGGGTCTTTTGTTAGGTGCTAATAGGTTAATTATAAGTAAAAGGCATTCAGTTGAATCAAATGATCTGAAAACAACAGGCTTTATGCTAATTTAGGATCTAATATCGTTGATGTAATCTTGCAGAATAACCTTATGCTCGGTATACAAAATCATGCTACTGTTAGTGGAAATGCTATATCATTGTCAAACATCTGTCTGGCCTTTTTTTTAAGTTCAGTCACCTTTGAAGGCTGTGATCTTAAAAGTTAGTTTAATCCTGAAATTATATTTTATGGTCAAAGCCAACTGGATGACTGGGTTGCCTCCATCCTCCCAGGGGTTTATGGCTGGGACAAGCAAGTCATGTGATTTATAGACACTTTACCTCTTTTGTCTTTAATGACAACACCTGTTTCTTGGAGATCCTTTTGAGGGGGTCTGTATCTAGTGGGGAGGAGACAATTTACAGCTACAGTTACAGCAAAATAATAGCTGTTATAAGTACATGTATACATGTAGCTAATACAGAACTGTACTATGAGTTAGGGAGCTGTAAGGGGTTATGTTCCTCATCGTTGGCTCTCAGTACTGTAGGGTGAAGCATCAGTGAGCATATTAATTTTTTTTTCTTGGATTTTGGCTGAACCGCCAAAACTCGGTTTTTTCTTGATGTTGTAAATGAGAAGACAACCCATGGAGGGCAACACGTCCTTGAACTACAAGTATGTAGACCGAAATCAAAGCATTGTAACAATGCCATGATTTAAGAGAAATTATGTATGAAAATTCAAGTAAGAAACAGAGAACCTGCCTTAGTATATCCTGCCAAGCTGACAGTGCCCAGGAAAGACCTGAGGCATGAGCCAATCACAGTGACCTATGAGTGTGACATCATAGTCATAACTGTGCTGATTGGCTGAAAGTTAGAGTGCAGTGCCTGACTGAGAGTGTGCTCGATTTTAAACCTCAGAGTCTGGTTAGAGGTGGTGAAGCATAAATGTGGGGGTCAGCAGGTTCCAACTTTGCGAGGTATATACTGTATATATGTGAGTACACTTAAGGTTTTATCCGTTTCATGAAATGTATTGTGATTGATGTGACCCCTTTTAAACTGGCTAAGACAATAGGTTTATGGTTTTGAAGTTTGATTGTCAATCTTAATAGAAAGTGTTCAGTAAACAAAGAACCTTAAAGTGTTATAAATTCTCCCCTTCTTTGTACTGAGTAACACATTTGTCATACACGTCTCTGGTGTTATGCAGTGATACAGTGACCCATTAGTAATAACATAATTATCCCCAGTGTTCCCTTGTGTCTCAGTTATCGTATGTTATTCGTGTCCCCAGTTATTATTGTCCCCATCCATTCTCCGTCCATCTCCCCTTTGTGTGAGGGTGGCTGCCGACCACAGACCGGCCATTATTCCCACCTCCCTGGATCCCCGTCCTTACTGCCACACTCTCTCTCTCTCACAAGAGATTAAGAAGAAAAAGAAAATAGAATTAAGAGAAATAAGAAATAAAATAAAAGGAAATATCACATCTGTTACAGCATTTTGAGACATACTGGGTTGCTGTAGTCTATTTAAGCATATAACAAGGACAATAAAGACCTTTTCAAGACATTTCCATAGATTTTTAATATTTTATAAGCTCCTGGGTCATGATTGAGTCACTTCGCTACCATAGTACTTAAAGGAAAATAAACAAAATTGTCTCCCTCGATTGATGCCCAAAATCTTGGAAACATTCACTGATGTACTGTAGGTAGAGTACCCTGTACATGTAGGTAATCCACCACACTGCTGGGTTTGATGGTATGGTCAGTGGATTCTTTGGTTTGTCTACTGGTATGCATTGAAAATTTTCAGCTTAGTATTTAATGCAGCAGGAACTGTGTTTTCAGTGTGCTAGTGCTCTTTGTATTAACTTATCGATATAAGCTTTTGGTGTTAAATGCTAATTTGAAGAGATTGCACATTGTTTTTACCTAGTTTCTTCATAAAATGATGGGATGACACTAGAGCAGCTTTGCCAAATTGATAATACTGTGAGATTGGCATGAAGCTTATTACTGTATATTTGCTTAATTGATGAGTGACAGTACTGTAGTGGCATTGTGGGCATGTGACTTATTTCCTTTGAGGTTGATTCTACTCTGAAGATTTTTATGGAGAAAACAGCTGTGAATGAAAGAAGCCAAGGAGTCAACAGTAAAGATTACGGGTACAATAAGTTCATCAATCCTGCCAGCAGTTGTACCAAACAGGAATGATGCTGTCAAGGAAGCCAACCTACACTGAACTATGTAGACTGTGTGTGAGGGCAACAGTACAGTACGTGGCTCCCACATAACTCGACCAAACATTTTATCTTCCCGAAGCTCAACTGATTTTAGAATTCTGTGATGTGTTTGCAACCTTTGCTTCTTCCTTTTATAATCCCAAATATGAACTAAACCAGTGAGCTATTGGTGAAACACAAGCGGAAAAGTAGATGTATCCTCTTCAGCACTTATCACCTTACTAGCCAGCTGGGGGGGTGAGCCTCTTCTTTGTAACACACTGTACAGTACAGTAGTGGGCATGTATGGTCTCTTGAATGTATCAGAACATGTTCCATTGTTAGTTAACTGGACCTAAAGGAGCTCACACACTCAGTGCTATTACAGTATGCTCAGGCAGGTTCTCCATGGGTTCACAGCTGTCATTCCCAAGGAGTTATCTCTTGACAGTTTCCTGAAGTGATAGAGTCATTAGCTCTAGTTGGGAAGCCATCCTCCATGACCTTCTATACTGATTATAAACTAATAATTGAAAACATTCCAACCTTTCTTGGTAAATGAGGTGTGTGAGAACCGGTACCTGCTGGGTGGCCCTCCTCAGGACATTCTGGCAGTCTTTGATATACAGTACAGTACCTCAGGGACCAGCACCCGAAGAGAAGTACAGGACAGCATATAATTTAGTCAAACTGTATTATAAAATGCCAACTTGTGTCAATAGCCATCGTCTCATCTGTTTGTTATCTGAGATTTATATGTGTCAAGTTTTAGCCATTTTATTGATTTTTAGAGTTTTTTAATGACTGAAGCTCAGTTATTGAAGAGCACGATTGACAGACTGGTCCAGCTCAGAGAGAACTTTGTTCTCTTCTTTTGAAATTTTTTGTTTGCTGCTTTAGTTTCTTTTTCATCACAGTCCTTATTTAGGACTTGAGGCCTGTCAGTAACATGTTCTTCATTTACCTCTTCAGTTTGATGATGATGATAGCCAGGGAACAATGAAAATATCAGTTTGATTGAAATCAAGATTGCAGCTGGCACAATGTTTATGTTTTCTAGATATATGCAGCTGAATGTATAGAGTTGTCTGTAGAGGGCAGTGTCCCTTCTTTAGGGTGATAACTGTGATAGGTGATAAGATCATCCCTTGGCTGCCAGGTAGGAGGATACATCTAATGTCATAGATCCCCCAAATTACTTGTTGTCTGGTTATGGGCTAGCTTGAAAATACTGTAGTGTTTGGGGACCTATCAAATATTATCCATAATTTCCTTTCAGGAATAATTGTTGGTAGTTGAGGAATGTAATCCTGTATTACCCTAAGTAAAATATTGTACATGTACGTACCTCAGCAGCTCCAGATAAAGGACAGCCTCTGCACACATTAGTTCAATATTGAGAATGATTATTTTTTATGTGAAGGTAATTTTTCATAATTCTTCATTTCATAGTTGCAGGGTTTTGTGGTTTATTTTTGGTCTGTAAGTTTGCAAAAATATTAATTTTTTCTTAGTCTGTTACAGGTATACAGTATCACACTACTGTAGATGGAGGAAATTTATTGAAGGATAATTTGCAATTTTATAATGTTGGGTCAGGAAATGGAGCTGTAATACATAGTACAGGTTGTACCTCTCTAGTCCGGCAACCTCGGGACCTGACCGGTGCTGGACCATAGAAATTCACCCTTTTCCTGGATAGATAATGACTTGTGCTTATGCCTGGAAGCACTAGCACCACTTTCTCTTCGTCATGGTCTCTTTGAAGACATATTGAAGGGTTAAATGTCGTATAGTAGCTTCTCAAATTTCGCGAGTTTTTAATTCTTAACGTATTTTATTGGAATACACAAAAAAATAAATAAATAAAAATTTTGACGGCGGAAACTTGAATTTCGATGGGTTTGAACGGCCCGCCAACGTGCAGACGACGTGCATAATCGTGTAAACAGCGTCATTTCTCTTATGTACAAACGATTCATTATTGTTTATTACTGAATGTCTTTTTTATTGAATTAATGTTTATGTGTGCAAAATGAGCAATACAATTCATTAATAATACGTAGAATATAAAAACACACGAGGAAATGACACAGCATTGTTTTCGTTGATTACAAAACCAGTGACTGACTGGTTCTACATATAAAACTGAAGAAAATAAGACCTTGGTTGTAGCTGTAGTAAAATTAATATGGTTGTTTTAAGTAATGTTATTTAATGTTAATAAATGGAACAATAGCAGTAGCTAACGATAATGGTAAAGAAAAAGAGAGATCGCATATGTAAGTGTGCACACGTGAAAACATATCATCATTACTTTACATAAGAATATGAAAGCAACACTTATTTACTGTTCATATATATTTTAATTAATGTTTCTGAATTTGTTTTTATTGAATTAATGTACGTGTGTACAAAATTAACAATACAATTTATTAATAATATGTGGAATATTAGAGGAGATGAGACGGCTGCCGGCATTGTTTATGTTAAAGCTTACAAAACCAGTGACTGATTGGTTCTACATATAAAACTGAAGAAAATAAGACCCTGAGTTTAGCTGTAGTAAAATTAATGTAAAAAATGAATATGGTTGCTTGAAGTACCTGTAATGTTATTTAATGTTAATAAATGGAACAATATAAGTAGCTAACCATTAATGGTAAAAAAAAAAGTGAGACTGCTCGTATGTAAGTGCGCACATGTGAAAATATATCGTCATTACTCTACATAAGAATATGAAAGCAACACTTATTTACTGCTCATATATATATTGAAGGGTTAAATGTTGTACTCTGTATAGACAAGCAGAGAGAGAGAGAGAGAGAGCAGCCGCACTGCCGGATGTAAACAAACCTTAATTTCCCGCGGCTTTTTTTTTTTTTTTAAGGGGATTAGGCCACCCGGGCATAGGTCACTGACCCACATTGGGGCCTGAGGGGCAAAAATTTAATACTCCTGTAATAATAATAATAATTCACAGAATGCCGGACTAGAGAGGTACAACCTGTACCCTGTATAGTATAGAAAGAAACAATTCACCACCACACAAGGAATATTATTTGTCATGGTGTTCACTTTATGATGCTGTCTTCTGTCATTGATGTCATTTTAGCACAAGAACTACACATGAGACTTTACTGAGGAATTGCCTTTAAGAATACAGTACATACAGAAAGCCTATTGATTTTGTGGTCAAACAGTCAAAGATGAAGGCTGTTGTGACCCAGAAAAGAAATATGAAGGTTAGTATCACTTGACCAAACAAGCAAAGTCAAGTTTGTGCATCTCTGTGGACATATTTTGTGCCATTGTGGTACTTTATTATTGGTTATGTGTACAATGAAAGACAAAAGTCGTGTCGTGAAATTTGGTGAAAGCGTATGCCGAAGAGCTAAACTTTTGGTGCGCTCTGCCTTGTGGTAGGGGGCTCTCATAATGTTTCACGAGATATATTTAATCTTCGGACAAAACCGCGACACGACTTTTGTCTTTGATTGTACATGTACAGTACTTTCTTATTATGAGCAGGGATAAGAATTTACTCTTGAACTATTACCCTTTCAGTCATGGAGATGAAGGAGCAACAAGCTGAAGACTGTGCATAATGGTTTATTGTTTCTGAAGGTATTAATGATAACAGATCATAGAAAAGTTGTGGTATTATAAACTTTGTCTTTCTTCTTTAATGCACACAGAATTTGATTAAGTCCACTTTACGCAAACTGGGCAGCCACTCCTCCAGTATCAACCGTCAGGGCCGGGTAGGACCTGAGAATGTTTCCCATGGGTAACTGGTTTGCATGGATGGGGAGATTCTTCTGAGAGGCAGTAAATCTCTTACACTAGTTTTTAATTTTGAAAATTTTGAATAGTTATTAATTCTTGAACATACTGTGAAGCTTTGCTATAAACTTGTTATTCATAAATGGGAGTTTAATAGCAATATTAATATAATTTTTCAACAAAACCAAATATAAAGTCAAAGCTGTGTTTAGTGTGTTGAAGGATACATGCCTCTTGAATAACTGGGGTTGTTGTACACTTTTATCATTAGAGTACAGTACGTAATGTGTTATTTCTGAGAGCTTGCAGTCTAACCTTGTAATATTGGTGTTTATATCCTCAACAAGTTGTTAGTCTTTACTCTTCATAATACGGGGCTTGAAAACTGTCTCTACTTAAATCATGTCACCTTTTCCCTCTCACAGAGCAAGATAACGCATGCACAGTCTTTCTCAACCAACCCTTTTATACTTAGTGTTAAAGATCTACCAATACAACCCACAATATTTACCAAACATTTCTGTATGTTAATGTGGGAATAAACAGCTGCTGCTGCTGGCATGCATTAAATAAATATTAATGTAAAAAGAATATAAGTTAGTGCATGTTCGCACAATGGGAGAAGGGTGTGGCAGCACTAAGGTCAATCACAGAGTGTAATTAAAAAGAAGCAGCATTTGAAGAACAGTGTACAGTACAATATGTTTTAAAATAAGTGTAAGACAACCTTATTGTTTGTACTATATAGTATGGTAATATGAATTGAGACTAAAGAAATCTATTTGGTTGTGGGGATAATATCCTTGTGATACATTCATCAACCATTATGGATGCTGTAACACAACTACAGTATAATATGGTGTACTCATAATGTTTTTTAAGTTAAAATTGCTATTACAGTATTTGTCTTGTATACAGTACACTCCAGTACAGGATAAGGGTTAGTTTCTCTCCCACAAACTGGTTGATGGTTTTAAGCTTAAAAACAATGTCTATGGTTTTCATGTGAAATATGTCATTCTGTTTTTTGGGTTAATTTACAAAGTAAATGTTAAAAATTAAGTTCTATAAATATTTTCCATTATTTAAGATATTTGTCTGGCAGCCGCATATTCTGAAAATGCATTGCTTTACAGTACAGTATTGCTTATGTAATGATTCCGCTTTCAGTAATTTGAAGCATTGGCATGACGAAGCTTTTTGCATCAACAAATTAATATACGTACTGTACTTGTTCTTCAGGGAATCCTTTCAATTTATGTCAAATCTATTGAGAAATTTGTCAGCTTTTTTTACTCTGTTGGAAAAAATCAGTCTGTGGTTTTCATCTTAATAATAGGAAATAGAGTATAGTTCCCCTTTGCCATAGGGATTAGGTTCCACTGTGCATATTGCAAGAAGCTTCTGTTATTGACGGTACAGTATACAGTAATTGTCGGGGAAAGTGTCAGTAGACACCAGGCACAGGTGGTGTGATGTAGGTCCATCAACTACTTGCATCAAGTAATGAAGGGCAGTCAATGTCAAGGAGTTGAATGATGAAAGCAAGAGAATGCAAATGGAAGAGAAGAGAAATAAGGATGTGCTTTAGAGCAGTATGTGCGGTGGATAGGATGTAAAGATAAAAAAGTACACAAATGAGGAGCAGATATGGAAGTGTTGGGCAGAGAGCAGATCATGGTGGCTCTGGTGATCTGGACATCTGGAGAGAATGGGAAGTGAGTCACATAGCTTATTATCCCAGTAGGGGCAATGCAAATGTAGCAAATATTTCACCTTTATGTGAAAGACAAGCAGGTACTGTACATGACAGCCATTGGCAGCTGGGAGGGAATTAGGGATGTCCCATTTGGCTGCCACTTCCCATATTGAAAGTGAAAGAGCTAGAAAAAAGAGTGCAAGAATCAGATATAGGAAGGAGATAGGAAAATTAGGAGATGTAAGGCTAGGGTAGAGGATGTCCTAAAAGTAAGAGAAAGAAAGATACAGCTACTCCTCGACTTACGACCTACTCGACTTACGACCATCCGGACCTACGACTGCCCCAGTTGTACCAAAAAAATTTCAAATTACATATTTTTGAGTCCCAACGTTAGTGATTGCGCTGTGTACTGACAAAATTTTCGTTTGTAATTCCCTTTAAATGGCTGGCAAGCTTAAAAGTGAGAGTTTTGTGGTGCTGAGAAGAAAAAGGGACACCCATTTTAGATTTTCTATGTATTATTTTCGCATTTTCGTCTTACGACCAATTCGACTTACGACCTGGATTTGTGTCCTTAACCCCGTTGTAAGTTGAGGAGTGGCTGTATACTGTACTGTGGGTGAGGCTAACTTGTGTGGTGCTGTAGTTGTTAAGTCCTTGTATTGGAGGGGAAGAACCATAAGAGAACACAGTGACAGGTTTATCATCAGGAATGTCACACATGCAGTATCAGGATACATGACTCTTCCAACCTAACCTTAACATCCCGGCCAAATAACCTCCAATCTGCCCAGCTGGGAATTCCTGATTGAGCAGCTACTTCCTAAACAAAATTGGCTGGTATACCCGGTTCATTCATTTTATGCAATTTTTTTTTACTCGTTTTATAGGATTAAAAGAAAAAGCCAAGAGCTTAAGAACAAGTCAGCTTTCAATGGGGCAGCATTCAGCGGGGTATTACCATACATTAGACCCTCAATATTTGTGGGTGTTAGGTTTTAGAAAAACTTTGTGAATGTAGAAACTTTAGTTGAGTGGAGAAAAGGGGGGTGAGTTTCCAAGTACAACTGAACATAGGGTGAATACAGTATTTAAGAAAAATGACTACGATAAGCACTGTTATCATCTTCTTGGTTTTACGGCCATTTTCCATGTTTGTGTGGGTTAACCATGGTTACCCGATGTCAGCTTACCATGCTGTGTGTTCTCTGTTCAGTCCTACTAGGAACCTAACCCCCTTTTCCCATTGAACTAAGGTTTCTATATTTGTGTTTTCTGCGCTCGTTGGAGTTTCAAAACCAAACCCCAGCGAGGGTGTACTGCACAGTATTGTGTAAAGGTTAAGTACTTCACAAAGTTCACGTACAGTATATAATAAACTGATCTGTAGAGGTGCCAGAAGGCTACGCTACTGTACTACAGTATAATATAATGTTAAAATATTTTATGAAAATAAGCAAACATCCCTGAACTTTATATTAAGAAATTGCATGAAGAGGAATAGAAACATAATCCTGAACCTATTTTTATAATTATGTAGACATCTGATCCCTGGAGAGAGTTTCCTCTGTTGTTTGTTGTTAATGCATGAAGGAATGGCTTATTACATAAGTATTGTAATGATACACTTCTCTTAAGTTCAACCCACTGTCTGCTTCCTTTGTCAGCTGTTGTATTCTTAGCCATCCTCTTAAGACTGTCATGTCTTGTGGTTATGAAAGCAGCACTGTAGTATATAGTACGATATCAATGTCGGGACTGTAATAGTGTGATTTTATCTAATGTGGTGTAAAGAGAATATATAATTATCAGCATGCCATTTCTCTTTGTTGTAATTTGTTGTTAAAGAAATAAAAAAAAATATTGAGCTTGTGGAATAAACATTTGTGACTCACAGTAAGCAGAGATGATAATACTAGTCAGAAGGAGGAGCTATAGTTCTTACTAAAAATAAAGGTTACTTCATAAATTGGCCAACAATAATACTGATCAAAAAAATTTTTCAAGGTAGAGTGAAGTGAAATAACTTTGAAATATGTAGTTATGTAAATTACTGTATTGTTAGCTTCAATACAAGTACAGTACAGTACAATAATAAAGTACTGTTAGCCTCATACTGTACACAAAGTGCAGTACGGTACTGTTAGTCTCATACTGTACATACAGTACAGGAAATGCCAGAGGTAAATCACATCCATGGCTGATGATAATGAAGCAGTTGCATAGGTTCACAGTCTTGCACTGCATCAAGAAAATGGTCATGGAAAAGTGCTGTGCTGCGCTCTTCCTTCCACTCTGCTGCAAAGTAGATTTCACAGGCTTAGTATTTTGTATGCCCCAAAAATAATAGTAAGGTTTGCCTTATTTTTTCTATGGCAGCTTTATTTGTCAGGACTGATAAGACAAATCTCCTGATAATACAGAGACAAAGGGTGAAAACCTATATTCTTAATCAGATAATAATAACATGGCTTTACTAGTTTCTTAACTTGCTTCTCTTTATAATAGAACTTGGAACAGTACAGTACAGTATAGTATAGTATAGCATAGCATATATCTATTGGATCACAAGTTACCACATCAGGTTTAGTTGCATCCTACTGTTTGATGGATGTATCACAAGTGACTGTGAAGGGTAAACACCAAGTGAGAGTGATGGTGCTAATTAGAGGTTGGCTTTATGTAAAGCAGCCATAACATACAGTATGTCTTATACACTACACTTTCTTGCTTCTGAATGGCCTCTAACTCGGCTGTCGGTTGGGAGCCAATCAGGGTGTGTCTAGGTAGTATACAGTATAGCAGTCTGTTCACAAGATTGGTATTATTACACAATGATAAGGATACATTAAGGGTTCACCTTGTCTTGGGAACAAGTTCTGACAGATGACTTAAAGAACTTGGTTGTTGCTTCCATTTGAAGTATTATATCACTGAGTAAGTCTACATTATTTAGGCAAGGTGAGTTGTTAATTAGTAATAACAAATACCAAGTGGGATTTTAAGTATTAACTAAAAATCCCCCCCACTCCCCTCCCCACCAGGTAGCATCAGGTGGTTAAGCTGGGGGTTTCAGGTGAGTATGATACTGAAGTCCTGACCAGAAGTTATTAAAAAAAATGATTCCTTAAGCCCCGGGTTGGCGTACCCCTGGCCGTTCCCCCGCGCCGGGGTAAATTGAGAAAAATCAACTTTTCCATAAATAATTTTTTGCCTTTTTAAATGTTAAAACAATAAAAAAATAAGTAAGAAAAGCTATATATTGACCCTCTAGAAACTTCCCTGGCAGAATGGAGGGAGGGAGATAAGGGGACACCTTGTTATGACAACGAGTGCTCGTGGTCACCTATGCACTTAGCAGTTATTTTTAGCTTGGCTTTGTGTCCGGATGGCCAGTAATGCATATATTTACTGATCATAATACTGTACCTATTTCCTATAAATAATTCATTTAGAATATTTTATTTGCATAACTTTTCATCAAAAGTGCTTGGCAACACACACGCCAGGCTGTCTGCGTGTTGGTAGAGCAAGTAATGCATAAAATAATAATAATTCCACAAATAAATACATTTATAACATAATCTTAGCATTATTTTCCAGTAATACTACACTACTTTTAGCAATACTATTACTTTGATAGAACATGTTAAAATGGAAAACAATGAAAAAACAAAAACAAAAGTAGGTACTTACATTTAGGAAGTTTCCCTGTGGCCGAGCATGTGGCGTGACAAGCAAATAGTCACGCTGGAACCTGATAACTCGCGCTGGGCATTTAAACAGTGGCGGGAAAAGGCGCGCGTTCTGAGGCGTAAGGGTTAATATTGAATGAGACAGCAGTAGGTGATTGTAAGCAATATCCTCCAGACTTCCTTGGCTGTGTGGGGATCCCTTGCCAGTTATTAAACATCATGGACTTGTGAAAGATGAAATGAATTGTCAAAGTTGGCATAGTGAGATGAACTGGACAAAACACTCCAAAATTAAGGATTACTTTGCATGGAAATACCAGACCAACAACTTGTTACAAGTATAAATTCACAGTTTCATACAGTGCAAATATATCCTTCCATGTGTCAGCTGAGAAATGGATCCATGCAGTATATCTGTAGAGTGGCTGCAGCAGCAGCAAGCCATTGGTCTCCCTTCCTTTCTCTCTTTTGTAGTTTTTTAAAATTGTCAGAAACAGAGAAAGGTAGAACCTTGAAACTGTGTTTATGGCTGAAAGGTTCCAAAACATATGAAGTCATTTCATAAAATCTTGCTGACTTGAAGTAACTATGTGTGTGACCCTTGTATGGAGCTGCTCTATACAGTACTGTACACTGTGGTAATGGCAAGCACTCTCAGCAGGTGTTTTTTTATTATTTCTTCCTTTTAGTTATAAATTTGGATTTATGTTTCATTCCTTTATTTCTCTATTTCAGTTTTCATTTAGAGCTGCCGTTGATGTTATTAGACATTACTTGATACATACTTTGTGTGGGAAAATACTTATGTAAACAAGCATGACTTCATTTCCCCTTGCAAGTGTCAAAGTTATAATAAGGTAATACCAGTACTGTACTGAAAATTGGCTGAAATTTGTATACTTGTTGAGATTTCAGTTTAAAGTACAGTATAATCTTCAGATTGAATTTAAATGTGTTTATTTACTCTACAGCTTATGCTTTACTGTACAAGGATGATGGCCATATTGCTTACCTTTTTTTTTCAGGGAATTTCTTTATGGTATCTAAAATTCTAGAAATAATGAGATGTCTTACTGTAAAAAAGATATACAGTGCTGTATAACGTTTCCTTTTCAGTGAATGTTTTTGACTGTAAGGCTATACTGTAATGGAAACATGTCACAAAAAACCTCCTCCATATGTTTTTAGCTTTACAGGTTTTTATTTTCATTTCTTTATCTGCAGGAATTAGTGGACTCGATTGTGAACGGTAATGTTGACCCATCAGTGAAACGGCAGAGGGTGGACGGCACCCCCTCATGGCTCACTCACTTGTCAGGCTCAACTGACCCTGTCACAGTCAAGCTGCTGTGTGGTGCTGACCTGCTGGAGTCTTTTGCTAAACCAGGCCTCTGGAAGGATGAGGATGTGAGTGTCTTGTAAACCAAAATCACATTTCCATTTATTGGGATTTAGGTAATTTTTCTTGCATTTGTATTATCTCAGATGATTTTGAAAGCTTTAGAATTGCCCAACTTTGTAAAAGCTTTGTACTTATTCTCTCTCTTCTATTTCTCAACTTTGTCACTTGATTAAACTGTGTCACATAGTTACATCCATCATTAAGTCCTTGTTCATAATTGTGTTTACTGCATTTGAGGTTGAATTCTTAACCATTAAATCACAATGTAGTACTGGTGTACATATCATGTAATTACTAGCTATTTAAACCTCTAGTATTACATATACGTACTGTACAATTATACACCATTTTTATTTCACTTTTCTCACCAGGTACAGTACTAATCACTTGTTTACATTGACATAATTGTATCTTTTTCTCTTTACCATTTGGTTAGTAAAACAAAATTCTTTAATTAGTATTAAATATTGCAGATTGAGGCTCTGGTTGGAAAGTTTGGTCTTGTTGTTATTACCAGGGAAGGAAGCAATCCATACAAGTTTATATACGAGTCCGATGTTTTGACCCGACACCAGGTATGTCACCTCTTCTACAGTGTGTCTGTCTGATAGTGTACTGTACTCTGCATGGAAGATGGTTTATCTTCCTCTCCTCTAAACACTACCACTTTTGTCTTCCCTCCACCACTACTCACTCTTGTTTAAATAGTCGGGCTTTATCCATGCTTTACTCATATCCCACACTCACTTATACATAAACAGTACAGTACATTGATCCCGGATTATTCCATTGTTTCACAAAGGTGCCTTCAACAATTCATGGGAGCCAATAAACTATTAAATATTAACATGTACTCTACTGCACAGCACAGTAATTTACTGTGCCTGTACTGTACTGTACATACTTTATCTGCTAGCAGGTGTCATGCCCACTGATTCTGCCGTGTATTGGGGTTAGGGAAACAACTTTATGTTTATCTACATAAGTTGGTCTTTGTTTGATAATTATTTCCTAAACATATAAAAAATTATTTAACGAAACATAAAGTATAATATTTAAAAATATTTAATGCTTCTCCAAGAAATTAAATATTAAACTTTATTATTTAATGTTCTTGTTTGTGAGAATAATTTACAGTACTGTACAGTACCCTAGATGCCAACCATTGACCAAATGATTAACTAAATTCTTTTAGGATGTCACTTTATCACTTTAACACTAATTCCTTCATTTCAAAACACACTTTACAGTAGTAAATTATAATTCATCCTCAGTCTGAACAACTGCTTCCTGCTGCACTTGTTCAGACTCAAAGACTCGAGGTGACACTTTAACAAATTATTACAGTACAGTATAGTACAGTATAGTATACAGTCAAAAGAGAAATCAGATATTTTTGTGTAACCTGTTATCATTGTTTTAATCACTTTTTCTTTTTCAGAGGAATATCCACATTGTGACTGAGTGGATCACAAATGAAGTTAGCTCCACAAAGGTTCGACGAGCCCTGAGGCGAGGAGACAGTGTCAAATATTTAGTGCAGGACTCTGTCATTGATTATATCTACAAGAATGCTCTCTACAACACACACAACAAGTGAGTGTGGCTGCACTTAGGCTTATATTTATGAGTCTTATGCAGATTTATGAATTTCATTATTGGTTTTATAAGGTTTTGTAGTTTGAACACAGATTGGGTTTCAGTTTTTTTAACAACATTGAGCCATAGCCATACACAGACAGAATACACACACTATAATCTACTTGTTTTTGGCAAATGGTCATGAAATGGCCAGGGTTGTTAATAAGGTCTAACTACTGATTGAAATATTAGTTTTAATTTTTCCCTGGATAATTTTTGTGATTCCAGACTACAGCATATTGCACTGTATTGCTGTATGAACATTAACTCCTTCATTATTAATTTGCCAGACTTGTATGAGACAGTGTTCTCTGATGATACAGTACTGACCACAGAACTGTTCCCAGGCTAAACATTTAAATAACACAGTATACAAATATTGAAAAATAGGAGTGTAAAAGATCATCGCAATCTGTCTTGGCTGGTTGTGTAAGTGTCTCCAAACACTACTTTCCTTCTGGCATCCAATCAGTTGACTTATTACAACTATTCACTTTGTTCACTATGATTGGCTCAAGACACTACTACCAGTTTGTTTGGTAGTCAGGAAGGCACTTCTCATAGTACAGTACTGTATGTCAAGCCTTCCACAAGGGCAGATAAGGAGTGCCTCCTGTAATCTTTGAGTTGTCTGCTGTAGGCAGTAGGGGGCCATGCTATGTGTGATAACCTTAACATAATGAGTAAATAATTACCTATTTTTCCTAAAATTTTATGTAGTGAGTACTGTACTAACTTGATTATGCTTTATTTGTGAAATCCCATTGTATGTCCAAGACTCAGATGATGAAATAGTCGATGTATGGGAGGCCTATACCCAAGTGTTGGCCTGAGAGAGGTGACCGACCTGCAGGGTGTATTAGATCACGACTTTAATGACTCGTTTATTTATTTTTTAATAATCATCGCTCATCTCTTTATTTTGGGTGACTATCTGGCCGTCATACACAGCACTGTACTGTAAGGGAACTTTGTGCACAACCAACATGTTTTTGCCTTTTTGTTGTACCCTGTACATGCAAATGGATGGGTTCCTGATGGATATCCTCTGATGATGCAAGACAATGTTTGGTTTTATTCTCTAACATTTTGTTTCATTCAGAAACATTTCTTTGTGTTTTATCAAGAACTTAATTACAAGACAAAATGATCTCCAATTTGCATTCTCTAATAACCCCATTTAACATATACACAGTATAGTACAGTACAGTGCAGTATAGCTATCATGTATACTGTACTATTATGAGTGAAGTTCAGTAGGATGTATTTTTACCATCTATGTTATTTATGGTATCTAAACCAAGCAGTATTGAAGGAAACTATACATGATAATTAAAGTGTTTTAATCATTCTCAAAATCAGTAAAATCCAAACTACAATACTAGGAGAGCTTCATCTGAAGGTTACTAGTGTGCCCTGAAGAATGCAGTGATGGCTAGGGAAACACTGTGTAACACTGAGTTCGTTTATTGTGGATGAGAGAAATACAAGTGGTGACCAGCGTGTGCCATGCACGGCTCACACGGTCAGACTGGGGCGCCTTGCCACATGGCAGCCTCGGGGCAATGTTGCCACATAACACGTGCAGTGTTGCCACGTGATAATATATATAAATGCTACTCGGCACAGTAGCTTATGTACAGGGTTGCTACTTGGCACAGTAGCTTATATACATAACCTACATCTCCCTCCCCCCTCACGCTCATAGTCTTTGTCTTGAGCGGACTTCTTAGTCCTAAGTCGCTCCGAGCGTCGAGGTGCACTGTGGGGCGGATCCTCGTGAGGTGTAGGTGACTCGTCCTCGGTCAGGGGGCCAGCAGCAGGGGGTGGGACTGGCCGGAGGAAGCGGCGGTTCCTCCACCAGACACGGCCGCTCGGCATCCTGACCTTGTAGTCCCGCGACCGGCCGACGCCCATCACTATGCCCACCTTGTCCCAACGTGTCGTCGTCGGGTCCTGGACGCGGGCAAGGGCACCAATCTCCAGTGGCTGAAGAGGGCGGGCACGGTCGTCATACCGAGCCTTGGCGTCCTGGGCATGTGAAGCGGCGCGGCGGTCGCAGCTCTCGGCTCTGGTCTGCCACTCCTTCGCAAAGGCCTTGGCGTGTGCAGGAACGCAAGAGCGGAGAGGGTGACCATACAGGATCTGGGCAGGGGAGCGCCTGTGTGGGTGGGAGTATTACGTAACTCCAGGAGTCCTTTGTCAAACGCCTCACAGTCTATGTTGCCTGAAGGGGCCACCTTGAGGATGAGGTGCTTGACTGTCTTGACTGCAGCCTCAGCATGGCCGTTTGACTGTGGGTAGTGGGGTGTTGACACGATGTGGCGGACTCCCCAACGCTCCAGGAATCCTGTGAAGTCCCGGCTGGTGAACTGTGGCCCACCGTCCGTCCGCAGACGTACGGGGACGCCCAGGTCACGAAAGAGGTGCCGGAAGTGGCGAATGGTGGCCGCGGACGTCGTGTCCGAGCCACAGATTACCACCACAGGCCAGCCAGAGAGTCGGTCGGCGACAACTAGGAAATGTTTCCCAGCTGTGCTGAAGAAATCAGCCGACACGGACTCGAAGGGCCTGGTGGGTTCGTCGTCGCACAAGAGGGGCTCTTGCTGTTGACTGGGCTGCATGATCTGGCACGGCTCACAGGCACGGACCGTATTGACGATATCCGCGTCAATGCCGGGCCAGTACACAGCCTGCCTTGCGCGGCGCTTGGTGGCCTCTGCTCCACGATGGCTGTCGTGTAAGCGGGTCAGAACGCGACGACGGAGAGCTGCAGGGACGACCACACGGGCACCGTACAGGACGAGGTCCCCATCTGCGTAGAGGTCCTCACGTATCTTCCAATACGGGCGTAGGGCGTTGTGGAGGTCAAAACGGTCGCGAGGGAACCCAGTCCTCACACTCTCCAAGAGCTGAGTGTAGGAGGGGTCGTCGCGTGCCGCGGTCCGTAGTTCCTCAAGGGCCAGATCGCTGTCGGGTGGCGACACTGAGGCCTGGGTGCTGGCGAGGGACTGTACGGCCTGCAAGGTGACGATGTTGCTGACGGAGAAACCGGCCTCGGTGCTGAGCATCTCGTCTTCAGGTGTAGGGCGGCTGACTGGGGAGCGGGAGAGGGCATCCGGGATGCACAACTCCTTACCTGCGCGCCAAGCCGCGGTGAAGACGAAGGCCAAAATCTTCTCCTTCAGGCGCTGGAGGCGGGGATTCTCGATGGCGTCCAGCGAATAGTGGTTAAGAATGGGGACCAAGGGCCTGTGGTCTGTGATGAGGTCAAAGTGCTGTAGGCCAATCAAGTAGAACTTGCACTTCGATAAGGCCCATACCACTGCCAGCAGCTCCAGCTCGATGGTAGCGTAGCGAGACTCAGCATCGGTGAGGAAGCGAGAGCCACACTGTACGAGCCGGTACTTTCCTCCACCGTGATCCTGGAGAAGGGCGTAACCAACCCCGTACAGGCGCGAGGCGTCTGTCTGGAGGACGGTGGGGAGCGCTGGGTCGAAAGTAGCGAGGATAGGTGGACTTGACAGGGCCTCCTTCACCTTATGAAAGGCGAGGTCGTGGTCAGGGGTCCACGTGAACGTCCTCTTGGGGCTCATCAGGGGGCGGAGAGGCCCGGCAGCGGCGGAGACGTCAGGGGAAAATTCTGCCAGCTGGTTCACCAGGCCCATGAAAGACCTGAGATCCGTAAGGTTGGCAGGTTTCGCAAAGTCCGCTATGGCGCGAACTTTCTCCGGGTCCGCAGCAATGCCATCCCTTGAGAGTCGGTAGCCGCAGAAAGACACTGCAGGTGCGGCCAAGACGAACTTCTCGGCATTCAGAGTGATGCCGTGCGTCCTACACCTGGTCAGTACCTCGTCGATGCGGCGAAGATGCGTCAGGTAGTCCTCATCGTAAAGGAGGACGTCGTCCACTACCTTCACGCAGTTGGTCACGCCTTGAAGTGCCATGTCACCACGGAGACAGAAGGCGTCCCCCGTAGCAGCGAATCCCATAGGGCCACGGCAGTAGCGGAAGCGTCCGTAAGGCGTGATGAAAGTGGTGAGTGGCTGATCCTCCTTCTTCAGTGGGATCTGCCAGTAGCCACAGAGGGCGTCCATCGTCGAGAAGTGCCGTACCTTCGGATCCACACTCCGTATAGCTGCAAAAGGTGTGGGTGAAGGATGGGCGGGACGGGACACCTGGCTGTTTAGTTTAGACAAGTCGGTAGTAATCCGCACTCCACCGTTAGTCTTAGCCACAGCGACTAGAGGGTGGCACCAAGGGGATGGGTCGTCACCAACGGGTACGATGACACCCTGGGCCACCATGGAATCCAGTTCCTTCTTGACTGAATCCCTGAAGGCGAGAGGAATCAACCGGGGAGTGTGTATGGCAAATGGCTGCGCATCTTCCCGCAGGTGTATCCTCATAGGCGGACCCGCCATAGCTTTCAGTGGCGCGGTCCGTAGGGCCTCCTTCGTCACCAGCACATCCGAGTACTCCTTCAGGAAGTAGGCCCTTGCGGCTGAAGGGGACGTCTCGCTGTGAAGAGGAAGCAGCCGTGACTTGGGTGGAGGCGGGGAGGGAGTGGACGCAGGTTCTGGGCAGCTCTGTGTGGCAGCGCCAGGCGCGTCGCTCGTCGACTCACGCACCCTGCTGGCGGTGTAACGAGCAGCTGGGATCTGCTCGGGAAAGTCTCTGGGCACCACGCCTAACTCCTTGCAGTGCTCCCACGACAACAAGGGTGTAGCGAGAGTAGGCTGCACGTCGATCCATCCGTGACACGACCTGTCGCCGTAGGTGATCTCTGCTTGAAAGGAGCCCACAGCGTCCGGCATCTGGGAACCGTCCGCATTGTAGTACTGCAGCTGCGGCGGTGGTCCCAGGCTGCGTTTGGTGAGGCCCAGTTTCTGGAGGTGCTTCAACCCAATCACCGTAGTATCGGCGCCGGTGTCCGGTATCACCTCGATGTGACC